TTTATCAGAAGATGACTTGGATTTATTAACTTCAAGTATATCTACTTTCATTCCAAATTGGTGAACTATATCCTTACTTTTGCATCAGGCACTAATTAACAGCCAAATCCTACTGATATCCAATATATATGAAAATTCTTTTGTAGCTGTCATCCTGACAGGCCAATCTTAAAATTTATATAATTGCAAACCGCTAATATTTACGTTGCAAGTCGACACATCATATTATTAGAGGGTATTAATTACTACCTAAGAAGCTATAATTACTGTATAGATGTCAATCGATTTTTTTTATTACGAATCTAGATATTTGTTAATTTCTATAAAACCATATACTGCATTTCGAGTTATTTCGAAAATCACACCCAAAATATTATTTATATAGTTTCAAAATAATGCCCATATACGTTCAAAAATAGCGCGCACCCCATAATAAAGGATATTTATTTATAGTAAGATTTAAAAAAATACATCAGAACTAGATTTGGTACTAAGCAAACCTTCCTTCGAGCTTATAGTTGCCATCCAAATAATTATTACTATTGGCCCAAACTAAAACTATTTTGACCTAAATTTTGACCTGAATTCTATTTTTTGTCTCAAACTTATTTTAAATTCAAAATTCATCCCAAATCCCAAACTTTTCCAAATCATATACTCGTTCCAAAGCCCAAATCCATTTTAGCATTATAATTTTATTATCTAGTAATAGTATTTTTACATTATAATTTTATTCTAGGTTAGTATCTTTGATTGGGATTTGTACATGGATTGGGATTTGTACCTTGTTTGGAATTGGGCCACGTGCTTAACTAATTTGAGCTTTGTATACAAAAGGTTTTAACTAGTCCAAACTATAGTTAATACCCTAGGAAGTCCCAAAGGTTCAAAATAGTTTGATTTGGACAGCAACTATATTCGAGCTTAACAAAGTTGTTCTAAAGAACAACTTTGTTAAGCTCGAAGGAAGGTTTGCTTAGTACCAAATCCAGTTCCGATGTATTTTTTGTTTGTCTACTTTTATATAAATACTTAAATTTTTTTTGTCTCAAAATAATGCTCACAGCTTTTGCTATCCCTAAAAATTGGTATATGGTTATCACTTATATCTTTTTATTCATACATTTAGCAAACAAATTTTGTTTTTATAAATATATTCATTAGTTGATTAGTTATTATATAAAATCTTAAAATCTGGTTGGCTGGCCCAAATCCACCTTTTGCTATAGGCACCCAATACACAGTCAATAGAAAAGTTAGTTATTGATGAGCATTAAAAACAAAAAGTTGTAAAAATAATATAATTAAAAACTCCATTTGTTCTCTGACAGCATCTTGATACCGTATGAGAATGTAATGAGTTCAAAATTATAGAATATTATGGATGTGACTTTTCTTGTATTAAAATAAGAGTAACATCAAACTATTGTCATATGTGACAAAATTTAGATGTTACTCTTTTGATTTTGATAAATATAATGTATCAAAAATATAACTATTGTACGGTGCATGGAAATAGATAATCGATATCAGAAAAGTTAAATAATTGTGACCCCCTAGTTAATAAGAACACCCTATTACAGGCAACCAATAGTAACACTAACATCGTATGGAATACTTTAAATACACACCTTTTTATGAAGTAGTTATTCTCAACTGGCTAACTGCTCATACGAATTTTCCTGTAAATTATCAAGATGCTATAAAAGATTTTAAAAATAGTGTTATAAACTCTTATAATGAATTTGAAAAGAAGCACATATTTAGATGATTAAAGGTCAGTATCAGTTCGTTTAATGGCAAATGTCTCTTGAGCTGATGAAATTTTTACAAGTTACTATAGAACGCAGGATATTAGAGTGACAAAATTTTTTTTCTCAAATAATGATTGTGAGCTTTACCACCTTTCTTATCTCAATAGTTCATGGTCATGAGCCTTACAGCTCAACCAGCAAGCTGTCTCTTAAATAGTTTATGGTTGTGAGCCTTACAGCTCAACCAACAAGCCTCTCCTTTAGATAGGAGCCTTACAGCTCAACTAGCAAACCGCCCTTTTAGATAACTCAATAGTCATGAGCCTTACTGCTCAACTAACGAACTACCTCTTTAGTTAGTTCATGGTCATGAGCCTTACAGCTCAACCAGTGAACCACCCTTTTAGTTAGTTCATGGTCATGAGCCTTATAGCTCAACCATCAGAAAATTCAAAGATTTTTTTTACCTTATTGGAATATTGAATTTTCCTAAGAATTCAATTAGCAATGTCTAACAGAGTTTTTGATTTTTTGCTAGATGTATACACTTTATTATGGTAATAATAATTACTAATAACTCATTTATATTTAAGCGTGATGAATCATTAATGAAGGAAAATTGGTCTAGCATTCTATATAATATTAAGGGGCATAAAGAAATTTTAAAAATAGAACAAAGAATTAAAAATAACAGAGAAAACCCTGGCAAAAGATGATTGAAAATATAGCTGTGAGTATTGTTTTAATATTTCATAATAATAATAATAATAATAATAATAATAATAATAATAATAATAATTTTTTATAAATGATCGAGTTCATATCCGATCAAGGATACTTGATTGACTTTAAGAAACAAATTTTTTAAAATTTAGAACATTTTGAGATCGATAATATGAAATCGAAACATCTAAATGAACAATATTATTTGATAGTTGATAATCCAATTACTTGTCCTTTTTCTGGTACTCTCTCTGCCCATGTTGTTGATTGGCTTAAAAAGAATGTTAATAATGCAGAATACTTTCTATTTGAATGTGATGAAGAAGAATCTTGGCTTAAGAAATTTATAGATACTTTGTAAGTATGTTACACTGTTCGTGCCTATATCATCAGCTTTACTTAATTAATGTTTTTTTTTAGCAAACATATACAAAAAAATGTTTTGGGTATTAATATTGAAAACATGACAGAAACTGAATGGTACATAGATGTGTTAAATCTGCTGCTAAAGGCTTTGGTTTCAGGCCTAAAGTATATAAAATTTAAAATGTAAGCATTATAAGTTGTTTTACAGTTTTTATCTTATTCCGACTGAAATTTTATCTTGTAATATAGAGATGAATCTTATACAGAGTCAAGTCAACAAACAAGCAAAGAGTTAAAGTCATCATCTAATTCTTCAACGTGCTCAAACCAAAATAGCAGATGGTCATCAATCTCGGTAGCTAATTATAACGAAAATACTTTAAATATAGCACCTTCTATTTATGAGAAATTAATATTTGTTAATTTGAGTGCAGAAAACTTTAATTTGGATAATAATTATTCCAGCAGAAGTAATAGAATACGCCCTGATGGTAAATTTATTTGTAAGGATATAGTTCACCAATTTGGAATGAAAGTAGATATACTTGAAGTTAATAAATCCAAGTCATCTTCTGATAAA